GTATTTTGTGTTTTAAGGGTTATATGAAGGGGTTGGATTAATTGGACCAAATTGCACAAGTTTTGGAAAGCAGAATTGAAGCTCAAAAGAAAAAGAAAAAGTACACAATACTGAAGCGAACTTTTCTTACGGCGTAAGCACGCCTTATTGACCCGAATGGCCAAACACTAATAGGCAGGATTTTTTGTGAAAGAAGGCTTGGAAGACTATACCTATTTTCCCAAAAGGAATGAGAATATAATATCTTAGAGGGACCCCTTATGTAATTAGAGGATTTTGTTAAATTTGGGGATGATTAGAATTAGACTAGAAATAGGAAACAAAAATCTTATCTTTCTGGGGGGAGATAATCATTCTGTAAGGGACTTGGTCTCCTTTAAAAAAAAAAAAAAAAGGAAGAGCTGCACGTTGAAAGAAAAGAAAAAAAGTTAGAAAAAAATTGTTTAGTTTTTTTTTTAATTTTCATGGATTGCTAAATTTCTATTCCAGCAACAGGTTAATTGAAGTTTTGATTCTTCAAGAATTGTGAGGTCGAATTAATTTTCATTGTTCTTCTATTCTTTCTCTATTTATATATCTTCTGCGTTTCTTGAAATTATTATTTTGATTGATTATACAAAGTGCACGTTGTTTGATTGTCAAAATGATATATTGCCCATTAGAAATCTAAACCCGTAATTGTTTAGATATTTTAATATTAGTGGTAAAATAACATAGTTGATTACAAATAGGGTTTTCAATTTATGTTATGGAGATATATAGTCAAGCTTAAATGAATCACACTTGTATATTTGTTGGTTAGGATTGGTAGCCTCTCTAGAGATTAATGTTGTTGGTAAATTAAATCCTAAGATCATGTCTAGGGTTGTTTATTGACAAGAGAAATAGTCAAATAGCGTCTCTTGATTATCGAGAAAGTAAGGAAACATAGGTTATTAAATCGTATCAATGACTATAGCCAATTTGGTGAAACAATAAAGGATGTTATTTTTTGCATCAATGATCGATTCTCTGAATCAATTCTGATATTATACCTTGGGCTTGATATTCGACTAATATTGATCTTCTCTTTAATTTTCATTCTAGAAAAATTGCTTAAATTTAATTTGTTTTAATTCACAACAATCCAAAACCCGCCTCTCTTTTATTGTCCTAATTTTTGAAGAATTAAATCTAATCAATCTCCGTGGATACAATCTTGCTCACCCTTGCTGCATTTTATATTTCAAGACAGCAAGCATTTATTATTTGTTGGATTCGACACCCATCAATTTTTTGCCGCAGTTGCTGGGGATTGGTGTCAAATAGATTTAATTTTTCTTTCTTTATTTATTGTTTTATTCTTTTTATGCCTCATTCTTCTCGTACAAGTGAATTGCAATACGACCCTGAAATTGAGAAGACAGCTCGAGGATTGAGAAATGAAGATAAGTTGCGTAGCAAGCAAGAATATTCATCTGATTTAACACTAAACCTGGTTGATTCATCGGTTGATTCATCTACTGATTCATCTAGCGATTCTGAAACAAAGCAAGCAATGGCCAATGAAGAAAGAATTATGAGGAAATTGGCTGCACCAAATGTGAATCAACAGCCACTCTGTATTTAATACCCTGATTTTAAGGTAGACTTTGAACTAAAATCTTGCTTGATCCACTTGCTCCCTAAATTCCATGGTTTTGAGAATGAAGACCCCCCATGAGCACTTAAAGGAATTTCATGTGGTGTGTTCAAGCATGAAACCACAAGGAGTGACCGATGAACAAATCAAATTGGAGCTTTTCCATTCTTATTAGCCGAGAGAGCGAAGGATTGGCTATTTTATTTACCTCCAGGCTCTATAACCACATGGATAGGAATGGTCAGATTGTTCCTTGATAAGTTTTTCCCAACTTCACGGGCCACAAACATCAGAAGGGAAATATTTGGAATCAAACAGAAAGATACAGAAATCCTTCATGAATATTGGGAAAGATTCAAACAACTGTGTGCAAACTGTCCTCAACATGGGATTTTTGAACAACTACTCATTCAATACTTCTATGAGGGATTGTTACCCATGGAGAGGAAGATGATGGATGCCGCTAGCGGAGGTGCTATAGTGAACAAAACAAGTACTATAGCTAGAGATTTGATCTCGATCATGGCTGCCAACTCACAACAATTTGCATCCAGACAAGACATCCCTTTGAGAAGGTTGAATGAGGTAAATGTATCCTCCCTTGAAAACCAAATAGCTAAGTTAACCTCTCTTTTTCAACAAATGGCTGTAGGAAATATGCAAGAGGTTAACGCTTATGGAATTTATGCTACTATTGGCCATCCAACTGATATGTGTCCTACACTTCAAGAAAATTCTTTTGAGCAGGCTAATGCAGTTGAAAGATTTCCAGGCCCACCACAAAGGAAATATGATCCTTATTCAAACACTTACAACTCAGGATGGAGGAATCACCCTAACTTTAGTTATGGGGTAGGATCACAATTCCAGCAATTCCAGCCCAGACAACATGTTTTTCCACCACAGCAACCTTCTTCAAGTTTAGATGTATCTCTAGAAGAAATTTTTAAATCACCTGCAACTAACACACAACAATTTCAACGGGAGACTAGGACGGGCATCAAGAACTTGGAGAATCAATTGAGTCGATTAGCATCAACTATAAACATATTGGAATCTTATGGTAAATTGCCTTTACAAACTGTTGTTAATCCAAAACAAAATGCTAGTGCGATTACAATGAGGAGTGGGAAAGAATTGAAAGAACTTAGCAAGATGAAGTAAGGCAACTCGGGAGAAGATGCTGAAACTGAGGCTATCTTTCAACCTCAAACCGACCAGTCTGAAAGCCTTAATAGAGACAAACCAAAAAGTTTGGTGACAAACCCTCATTTTCCTACAAGATTGAATAAATCCAAGAAAGAAAAAGAGGAGAAGGAAATCTTGGAGACCTTTCATAAAATTGAGGTAAATATTCCCTTACTTGATGCAATTAAACAGGTGCCTTAATATGCTAAATTTCTCAAGGAATTATGCACCAACAAGAGGAAGTTGAAAGGTAATGAAAAGGTGAGCATGGGAGAGAATGTTTCAGCCATCCTTCAAAGGAAATTACCTACCAAATGCAAAGAGGTTTGTTCACTATTCCTTGTAAAGTAGGCAATGTTAGGATTGAGAAAGCAATGATAGATCTAGGAGCTTCGATAAATTTCATGCCTCTTTCTGTTTATTCGTCATTGAATAATGGTCCATTGAAAGAAATAGGTGTGATTCTTCAACTTGCTGATAGGTCTAATGTGTATCATGAAAGAGTCTTAGAGGATGTTCTAGTGCAAGTTAATCAATTAGTTTTTCCTACTAATTTTTATGTGCTTAATATGAAAGAAGATAACTTATCTGATGCTATACCAATCATATTAGGAAAGCCATTCTTGAAAACATCTAGGACAAAGATTGATGTGCATGCTGGTACACTCACAATGTAGTTTGATGGTGAAATTATTAAATTTAATATCTATGATGCCATCAAGTTTCCTGTTGATGCTAAAGATGTCTAATCTATCGATGTAATTGATAATCTAGCACATGATATTTTTGAACTTGATGGGAAGGATGAGTTNTTAAATTTAATATCTATGATGCCATGAGATATCCTAGTGATGTATCCCATATTTATGTGTTGGATGTTATTAACCCTTTAGCAGAATTTCTTTGATCTTATTGATGATGATAAATTGAAAGTTGCACTTAGCAGGAGTCTCACTCTTGGAGGACTGGAGAAAGTTATAAAGAAGTTTGTGTTGGATTCTGACTTGCAAGACGCAATTCACGAACTAGAGTCACTTAAACCTATAAGGTGTAATATATCTCAAATTGAATTGTCTCTTTCTCACACAAAACTTCTTCATTCTATTATGCAGGCACCGAAATTGAAATTAAAACCCCTACCAGATCATCTGAAGTATGTGTTCTTAGGAAAAGGAGAAACTTTCCAACAATTATCTCCAAAACACTCTCTACCTTGGAGGAAGAAAAATTACTTTGGGTGCTTACAGAGTATAAAGCGGCTATTGGATGGATAATAGCTGACATCAAGGGGTTGAGTCCTTCCACATGCATCCATAGGATATTACTGGAAAAAGGTTGTAGACCTTCTAGGGAATCCCAACGAAGACTGAACCCACCCATGATGGAAGTGGTAAAGAAAGAAATCTTGAAAGTTCTAGACGCAGGTATGATCTATCCAATTTCAGATAGTAAATGGGTAAGTTCGATTCAGGTTGTCCCAAAGAAAACAGGTATAATAGAGGTTAGAAATTCTGAAGGTGAAATGGTACCTACTCGTGTTGAAAATGGTTGGCGGGTGTGTATAGATTATAGGAAGTTAAATAAAGCAACTAGAAAAGATCACTTCCCCCCCCATCCCCCATCCCTCCCAATTTATAGATCAAATGCTTGAACGTTTAGTCGGTGGTACTCATTATTGTTGTCTTGATGGTTATTCAGGTTTTCATCAGATTCTAGTTGCACCTGAAGATCAGGAAAAAAACCACATTCACTTGTCCTTGGCACCTTTGCATATCGACGAATGCCGTTCGGACTTTGCAATGCCCCTGCTATGTTCCAGAGGTGTATGGTTAGTATATTTTTAGATTACGTGGAAAACATCATAGAGGTATTCATGGATGATTTTAGTGTTTATGGTAATACTTTTGATAGTTGCTTGAAAAATCTCACACTTGTGCTTAAGAGAAGTATGGAT